ACAGACAGCCTCTTCCCAATATGCGTTTTTGCAATTTACATATATGCAAAAACGCATAAAAACAGAGATAGTGCTGGGGGTCTGACATTTATCGTGAGACATGGTGTTGCATTTTTTCAAATTTTTCATGAAATCTCTCTAAAAGCTCCGTTTCTCCTGCATCATTGAAGTTCCGTAAAAGCTAAAAATACGGAAAACAAACCTGTACTTCCAGTGCTAGAGACTGTCCACCTGTGCTTGCGATGGAAATCGCGTCCGATTCTTTTTGCTCCGTTAAGGACATACGTTTCGACGGCGACTTCTCGGCACTTCGTCTGATTGATGCGCCAATTTTCTCTTCCAGATCGCGTACTTTATCCTGTATTTTATCGAGCATTGTATTTGGTTGGTTCGCTGATGCCTCCGGTAGGCAGCTATGCAGGTCATCACTTCGTCGCTGTAGCTGGTCCAGTTGGGCCTGACGATCCAGCAAATCACGTTGGGTAGCCTGGAAAACAACACAGTGTTAACGAAGACAATGATGTACGAAAGTTTAAAATTCTTAGTAGACGACAAAAAACGGAGGAAGTTTAAATGCGCAGAGAACAGACAAGCACGAGGTCACACTGTACGGGGTTCGATTCTAAAATATGTGCATGCAAGTATTCTTACATTAGCAATAGCAGGTTCCGACAGATCACGAGCAGCAAGCTGATCGAGAACCTCATCTATCGCGCTGATATCTCGTTCCAATGATTCAGCTTTTGCTTTTACTGGCAGTAAATTTACTTTATTTTCTTTTAGCGCTCCTTCGACCTAAAATATAGAAAAAATTTCGGATCATAAACTGTTTTTATTTGCTATTGCTTCCATATTAAGGATCCATAAGAAAAACAATTCTTCTAAAATAGATTCATTCGTTTCCATGTAAACTGGCAAATACCAGAAAGCCAAGCTATCCTCAACTTACTTCTAAGCAACTCTTGAAAGAGGGAGTCATTGACAACTCTTGTCAAATCGCTAGAGGAAGCTGTTAGCACCTGGACCACTTCTTCAGTGCCTTAGCTTCTCACAGAAAGTTAAAATGGAACAGAATGTTTTCGATTTACCAATAACTGGTTATTTAATATCCGCTGCACTTGGGAAATTTAATTGATTTAATTTCGTATACAATTCCCACTTCGCCAATAGAGGCCCCAAAATATGGCTGACCAGTAAGTCAGCCAAGTATATCACAAACTATCCAACAATTTGGGCAGGCTAAGGAAAAACTGAGGTCATGGAAGTTGAAAGAAAATTGGTAGACTTCAAATCAAGAAATTTTCTGTTCAGTCATAATCCAATATCCTCGTTTATTTCGGACCCTGTGAAAGGGAGGATTTTTTAAAGCCAAAACAAGAGACTGACCTGATTGGCCAAATCGACCACTCTGTCCAGGCTTTCCAAGGCATCATGTACATCCAGTTCCATGCGACCACTGCTTGCCAAACGTCGACCCTCCTCAATTGCATCTTTCAGCCGTCCAGTATAATCAACCAGCCATTCATCGACATCCTGAAAAAAAAAAAATAATTGGCCAACGCACGGGCTGCCCGTGCGAAGATGCGTATTTTGCATGGCTCCCCGCAGTTTTTGTTGCTACCAGCACCGGTTTTTTCGGCAAATGATTCTAGCTAAACAAATTAAGACTGGCCGCCAGAACTGTCAGAAAACATCCCTTTAAAATTTCAGCT